CTTCCTGTCCACCTCCCTTCTGTGGTCACACGCAGTTCGCCCACTGCCTGACTGTCCTGGAGGAGGAGGAGAAGGGTGGGTGTGCCGGCTGGCCAGCCCGCTGCGGCTGAGCCCTGCGGTGCCGGCGTGTGTTGGGACATCCGGCTGCTCTTGCCTCCTGCAGTCTTTGACTGCGCCTCGTGTTTGCTGAGAAACTTTCTACCCCTTATGCAAAACCAGGAGATGGGTGGCAGCCTCTCTGGGCTGCTGGGGGAGTCTGACTTGGCGGGAAGTTCGTCTGGAAAATGCCTGGTGGAGGAGAGTGGGAGCCCCCGGGCAGGACCGTGGCCCGGCCAGAGCAGGGAGGGGCAGATGCCCCACTGACTTGCAGCGCTCAGACCCCCGGCCTGTGCTCACCAGTGTAAGGTAGACTTGGCCTCTGTGTCCGGGAGGCGCTGGGCGAGGGTCTGGCTTACAGGGCCAAAGCGCCCGAGGAGAGCATGGTGGCAGGAGGCGGTGGCACCCACGACCCTCCGCGGCTCCTGGCTTTGATGCTGAGGTGGGCCCGGCTGGAGGCGAATGTTCAGACTGAGTTGGGCTGTGGGCTTGTTGGCTGGTGACCCCTGAGAAGCTGAACGGGGGAAGGCGTCTGGGGGCAGGTGCTGCTGAGTCCCCGGCAGGTGAGGCTTTGGGGACGGGACTGCTCGGTCCCTGCTCTGCTCACCTGCCGTCCAGGTGGGTTATGGTACCCAGCTCAGATGGTAAGGTAAAGTGGAAAGAGCAGGATGTCTTCCCAGTTGCTAACAGAATGAAAAATGTTTAAAAAACCAGTGATAGAGGATTTCAGTGGATATGAAAAATGCTTATCTAAGAATTAACTGGGGGTGAGGGGTGCAGGCTTACCTAGGTGGCACAGTGGCTGCCACACCCACGGTGTGGCGTGAAAGGACCAGGGAACCAGGTTGCTGCCGGGACCTTCGGGGTGCCTGGGGCTGTTGGCCCCTTAAAACTTGAGGGAGTTCTAAGGTGGGGTGTCTGTACCCCACATCTGAACTTGCCGTGTTTGAGCACGTGACATAGTTTCAGGGCCTGGAGTCCTGGCTTTGTTAGTTGCACAGCTTAGGTCACATGTGAGGGGCGACTCGGGCTTCAGTGGCTGGGACCCGCTCGAGCCTGGCCCTGCCCTGGACACGCCTCGGTTCACCGGAGCCCCCATCTTGAGCGGCCTCCCCAAACCCGCGCCCCTGCCGACACAGCTCCCCAACGCATTTTCTTTGCGGAGCCGTTAAAATGGTTCGGTGCTCCTCAGCCTCGCGGAAAGCTTCCCGTTCGGATGTACCGTAGCGTGTCCGAGCTGTCTGCGTGTGGAGAAGGACGGACTGGTGCAGCCCGGAATGGCAGCGGGGCCTCAGCCGGGATCTGGAAGCTGAATTATAAATAGCTTGGCGGAGCCGCTCGGCGCGTTTGGAAACACTCCCCAGGCCGTGCGGCAGCAGGTGCCGTGTGCTGGCAGTTCGTCCTCCGAGAGCCCTCTCGAGGGTGCTTCAGCCCCGCTGTGCGGCCCAGGGGGCGGGGCCTG